GATCTTTTTTATCATCCTCTGAGTCCTCCATGACAGCTGGTTCTTCTTTGGGTGGGATTTCCTCCTCTTTAGATTCCTGGAGGTCTTTGGGTGATGCTGTTCAGCATCATGCCCTTCTTTCAGTTCCAGAGCCATCAGCAGTATTTTTATTTATTTATTTATTTTTTTTGGGGGGGGGGTCGCAGCTGTAGCTGCAGGAGTAGAAGACTTGTGCACCCTTGATCTTTAGACTGTATTTTAGGCTTGTCCCGATCCGATATTTGGATCGTATCGGCCGGCACGAGAAAATGCCGATCCAGATTCCAGATCCATTTTTTTTTTAAAAGTCTGATCCCACCCGAGCATTAGCATTAGCATCTTTAACCACAGGTCTGTGTAACTTTAGTTGTTATAAGAGTAAATCCCTGTTCAACATGAGTCTGACAACTAAGTAAGAAGATAAATAAATTTCAACTTTGATACAAAAAGCTGGATCGGGACATCCCTACTGTATTTCTACATAATAAGATGATTTCTATAACCATAAAATAGTTATTGAGGGGTGAATTGATTCAGACGGAGCACTACTGAAGGCCTAGGGGTGAAATGCACGGTCCGCCACTGAGTAAATCACATAAATGTCAGGATCGGCAGTCTATGGGCGTGGTCACACGCTCTTCCCACAGGTGCGTTTTAGCGCACCTGCGGGTTAATCAGCGAGCGCATAAGAGGAGCGGATCCCCGGCACCTCGCCGCCAGAGTGTCGTCGCCTTTTGGTATATCTGGTTCCAGAGCTAAGTGGGTTTCGAGTTTGTTGTGCTTATTTACCCAGCCCGTCTTTCTTTGTTTCCTCTAGAGCTCTCCTACCTTCGCGGAAGATCCAGAGTACTCGTTCCTGCCTGTGCCGTCCTGTGCACCGTGCCCACCGAGCGCGCCCTTCCAGCCACTGGACCCCCCTCCCAGACCAAGCCCCCCTGTGCCGTGCTACTACTGGTTATTGCCAATAAAGCCTTGAAAGGTTCCCCTGAGAGTGATCTTTGCATGTGGGTTCGGAAGATCCAAACAAACATGACATTTAAACCTGTAACGTAACCTGTATCTTCTATCCTTTGAGTGAATAA